GATTCTTGAGCCAGTTTGAAAAATCAAGAAACGCTTGAAGCTGTGATTTCTTGAGGAAAAATGCGAGGGAAAATTTTGGGGTACAACAGTTGCCTCTGTTCAATCTTCTTGGACCTGAAGAGTTAGAAGGGCAAGTTTGCCTTTCGCGACTCGAGGGTAAAAGGAGATTGGACACTAGAGTGCCCGGAAATTTGCACTCGCATGCAGGAGTATCAGCAATGTGATGGCAGGAATGGGCTTATAGATGCCATTTGGAGATAGGATAGATAGGAGGATGGGCTTATAGATGCCATCTGGAAGCGTGACAGAACCTTGTCGGGAATGGGCTTATAGATGCCATTTGGAAGTGTTGATCGCGTAAGAGATTCCTTAGCGAGAACTTGCGTACTTTGAGAGAGGAAGATGTTTCCTGGCTTGTTACAGGTGTTGATCTTTAGTCCCTTCATACAGATATGCCCTGGCTGGATACAGGAATCAAATCTGGAATTGTTGTCTTCAGATGTGCCCTGGCTGGATACAGGTATCGAATCTGGAATTGTTGTCTTCAGATGTGCCCTGGCTGGATACAGGAATCGAATCTGGAATTGTTGTCTTAGATGTGCCCTGGCTGGATACAGGTATCGAATCTGGAATTGTTGTCTTCAGATGTGCCCTGGCTGGATACAGGAATCGAATCTGGAATTGTTGTCTTCAGATGTGCCCTGGCTGGATACAGGTATCGAATCTGGAATTGTTGTCTTCAGATGTGCCCTGGCTGGATACAGGTATCGAATCTGGAATTGTACAAGGTTGGTGGAGATGGCTTTCCTGGCTGGATGCAGGGGTAAACCTCTGTCCTGAGAATGAAAGATACTTTCCTGGCTTGTTACAGGGGTTGATCTTCATACTCTTTATGCAGATATTCCCTGGCTAGATACAGGTATCGAATCTATAATCAATCACTCATAGATGTTCCCTGGCTAGATACAGGAATCGAATCTGGATTCGTGATATTTGATAGTAATCATCTTTTGGGTTGATCTTTTTCCTGAAAAGGCAAAACATCAGTTATATGTAATGTCATGATGTATGAAATGCATGATGTCATGATGTTCTCAAGAATAAATGAGATTGTGTGTTTATGATGCGTATATGCATGCGTCATGGTGTATGATAATGCGATGTTTATGAATGTATTTTCGTCTAGGAAAATAAATCATTGACGTGTGCCGGGAGTTTGTTAAATCCTGGGCTGCTGTTTGAAGAGTAGAGTTCTTCATTTCCGCTGGGGATGATGGTCGCAAGATAAACCGATAGGAGACGATGACTCCGTTGGGGCATGCACTTGTTGGGAAAATCACTCTGAGGGGAAGTACTCTGTGGGAAGAGATAGTTTGTTGAGGCTTTGATGAGAGTTCCGCTGGGGGTTCTGCTGATAAATTATGTCGGAGAATTTGATGAACTCCGCTGGGGATTGTTGAGGTAGCCTGGTCATGTTCTTCAGTTGAACCTACCTTGGTACCTTGGCGGACAAAGCAACTAAACCGCTTGGTCACTTCAAAATTGCCCCATGTTTCTGATGTCACATGTCATTAATCCTTTGTCTTGTATGTAAACATTTATGATCTAGTAATTTAACGTCAAATGCATATATCAAAAATGAACATTGGACGTTCTTTGCAAAACAAAACAAAAAAAAGGAAAAGCAATGGATAATTTGTCTGAAAAATCGAACTTGTATTGATTTTGAAATTTGCCTGTAAATAGGCGTTTATGTACAGGAGGCTGACGTCCTAGTAAGAGAACGCCACCGAACAACATAGAGTTTATACAATTTTGAAAAGGAAACAAAACAGCTATGTGAAAAACTAATCCCAATGGGTAACGACTCTGCTATCGCCGTTATGTCTTCAAGCGTCTCATCATTTTGCCGCTTAGTTGAAAGTGAAGCTGATTGATCGATGCCGAAGTCTGAGCCCTGATAGTTGATGCCGAATTCCGGATGCCAGGTGATCTAATGAGACATAGTATTACGCTTCATCCCTAACTTTTGCCTGGCCTGCCCTTTCGGGTTTTCAGTCCACCGGGATACCCATTTTTGCCCAAGCTGCCTTTTCAGGCTTTCGACTTGCCGGGTGTACAGATTTTTTTTATTTCATCCCTTATTTTTGCCCGAACCCTTTTGGTTCGCCGGGAAACCCTTATTTTTTCCTAGGTGTGTCAACCTAGCGGGTCCTTAGTTCATGCGTAGTATCTTTTTACTATGTCTGCATTAGCGGGGTGAGGAAGGTCGTCACCATCCATGGTGGTTAGAATCATGGCTCCTCCTGAGAACACATGTTTAACCACAAATGGCCCTTCGTACGTAGGGGTCCATTTTCCCCTGGGATCACTTTGAGGAAGAATAATGCGCTTGATTACCATGTCCCCAACTTGATACTCTTGTGGTCGGACTTTCTTGTTAAATGCCCTGATCATCCGTTTTTGATACGTTTGACCATGACAGATGGCAGTGAGTCTCTTTTCGTCAATCAGGTTTAATTGATCAAGTCGAGTCTGGATCCAGTCATCTTCGCTCAAGCCTGCATCCTTCATTATCCGGAGAGAGGGTATCTGGACTTCAATCGGCAAGACTGCCTCCATGCCATAGACCAAGGAGAAGGGAGTTGCCCCGGTGGACGTTCTTGCTGAGGTACGGTACCCATGAAGAGCAAACAGTAACATCTCGTGCCAATCTTTATAGGTCACCGTCATCTTCTGCACAATCTTCTTGATATTCTTATTTGCTGCTTCTACAGCCCCATTCATCTTCGGTCGGTAAGGTGAAGAGTTGTGGTGCTGTATCTTGAATTGCTCGCAGAGCTCAGTGATCATTTTGTTGTTAAGATTTGTACCATTGTCCGTAATGATCCTTTCAGGTACACCGTATCGACAGATCAGGTTGTGTCGAATGAATCGCGCCACGACGCTCTTGGTTACAGTGGCGTAGGAAGCTGCTTCAACCCACTTTGTGAAGTAATCAATCGCTACCAAGATGAAGCGGTGCCCATTGGATGCCGTAGGTCGGATCTCTCCGATCATATCGATGCCCCACATTGCAAAAGGCCAAGGTGTTGTCAAGACGTTCAGAGGTACCGGAGGAATGTGCACCTTATTAGTATAGATCTGGCACTTATGACAAGTTCGCGAATGCTGATAACAGACGGCTTCCATTGTGGACCAGAAATACCCCGCCCGAAGGATTTTCTTCGCCATGGTATGTCCACTGGAATGTGTTCCGAATGTACCTTCATGTAATTCTACCATAATCTTTTCTGCTTCAATCTTGTCCATACAACGCAGTAAAGTTGAATCATGGTTTCGCTTGTAGAGAATGCCATTACTGAGAAAGAACTTTGCCGCAAACCTTCTCAAGAATTTCTTGTCATTAACAAATGCACCTTCGGGGTATTCTTGAGCTTCCAAGTATCTCTTTACCTCATGATACCAGGGTTTCTCTGTTACCTCTTCGGCCTCAAGATCACAGCAATACGCAGGTTCGTCCAATTTCCAGATAATGATCTGGGGCGCTTCGTTGTCCCACTTGACTTTGAACATAGAAGACATTGTAGCCAACGCGTCCGCCAACTGATTCTCTTCTCTTGGGAAGTGTTCAAAAGTTATCTCCTCAAAGTGGGGAAGCAATGCTAGCACATACTCCTTGTAAGGAATAAGATTTGGGTGTTTCGTATCCCACTCACCTTTGACCTGATTGATCACGAGAGCGGAATCTCCGAATACACTCAGAAACTTGATCCTTAAGTCGATTGTGTTGTACCCCAATTTTTGACCTAAGATCCCATTTTTATTTTTGCATTTTTTAAGATAAGTCAAGGTCACGAAATACAGTCGATTTTAACCTCTCACCTTCGAGCTTTGACTATGCGAAGATTGTCAAGTGTTTTGAACATTTTTAGCCCATGTATCACTAATTTCTAATCGCATACAAAGGTGTATGTTCATGTTTTCTTTTGTGTCATGTGCAGAGACAGGTCTGAATCAAGAGCATCAGGTGTCGCGCCTCAATTAAGGTTTTGAGTCTCCCAAGCCAAAAGTACGGTTGATTATGGATTCTCGAAGACTGATTTATCAAGGCACAACTGTCGCACCCCATTTTTCGCCCCTTCACTTTTTTCGACTGGTGCATATTTTGTCGTTAATTTGAAAAATCGATCATTTCGCATACTTTCTTGTTTTTATTCATCATTTTAATTTCTATTTAAAAAAAAGAATTAAAATAGTTTATCATTTGCATTTTCTATCATATTTCCAATGAATTTGTTTTAGTTCAAAAATTTGTCTTATTATTATTTTTTTCTTATTTTAATCTATTTCTATTTCTTTTAGATATTACTAACTATTTCCCCTTTTCTCATTATTATTATTATTATTATTAGTATCTTTATTGCATTTTATTATTTCATCTTTTATTGTTACTAATTATTTTTATTTTTGTTCTCATTATTGTTATTATCATTGTTGTATTTTATTATTTTATTTTATTTATTGTTACTAATACTTTTTTCTTCTTCTTCTTATATTATTGTTACTATTATGTTATTATTTGTTTGTTTTTGTCAAAAATAGAGAAAGAAAATTGCAGAGTGGGACCATCCAATAAATAAAGTTACTATTATGTTATTATTTGTTCATGACTTTTTGCAGCAATAACAAAACTGGATATCAAATAAATCATTTTCTAAAAGCTGAAATCCTCACCATCCATTCAAATATTTATCAACAGTCTCAAACACTGCTCAAAAACTTCACGCGGATCGACATCCAACTTCACACAAAAACAACAACAGTACATAGACACAAAACCCATGTTTTTTAATCTCCGAAGGTCCTCTGTTCAAAGAACCCACTACTATCACACTCATCAATCATGGCTTCATAAATCCCTTCAACCACTTTCTGTTTCTAGACTCACGAGATTCTCACGGTTTCTTCCTCGCATCTGCTGAATCGAATCTCCGATCATGGCGGCGAGCAAGCATTCCGTGTTGCAGTTCTTTTCTACGCAGAGCTTATCCGGGAAGGTTCATCCTCTCTTCATCTTCAACATCTGTGATTGCTATGTCCGTCGTCCTGACCAAGCGGAGCGCGTCATCGGAATGCTACTCGACTCCGTTCTCCCCAACGGAACCGTCGATATCCGAAATTCATACGCTGTTCCTCATAACGAGTCCGTTGACCAGGTTGCTTTAGATATTGAGTACCACCATAACATGTTGTTATCCCATCAAAAAGTGAATCCCAAGGAAGTTATAGTTGGATGGTATTCAACTGGTCTTGGAGTAACTGGGGGCAGTGCATTAATCCATGAGTTTTATTCTCGAGAAGTTTCCAACCCTATACATTTGACCGTTGATACAGGATTTGCAGATGGAGAGGGCTCCATAAAAGCATATGTTTCAAACAATTTATCTCTTGGAGACCAGAAAATTGCTGCACAGTTTCAAGAAATCCCTTTGGATCTTCGTATGGTTGAAGCTGAGCGCATTGGATTTGATAATCTGAAGGCAACTGCTGTTAACAAAATCTCCGTTCGTACCCTTTCTTTCTCTTTTACTCCATTGTTCTATTTTGATTTTAATATGCTTGAATGAGTTTACTGTTATGAGTATTCACGTGGGTGTTTTTGTTTGTTAATTTGAGAGTATTGTTATTCTGATTTTGAAAGAAAAAAAAGGGTTGTGTTTCTATGAAAGAGAAGGATTATGTTATCCTTTCTCTGTTTATGTTATTATATATAAATTATTTTATTTTTATTTTTTTAATAAAATAAAAATCATGTGTAAGAATAAATGAATAAGAATGTGTGTGTATTGTAAAAATGCTGCAGTGGCGTGAGTTGTCTGAGAATGAGTATAAATGAGTGTGGATGTGTGGTTGTGAAAGTGGTAAAAGTTGCGTAGCTATTGTGATGATCTATAACATCAGACGTTGCATTGATGTGTATGCTTAGCGAGAGCAGAGAATTATATAGTGCATGATTTGGATGTATGAGATGCGACTGCAATTGAGTGAAATCTTGCGCATGATAGTGTAATATGTGCATTATATTGCAATTGTTGATGTATAACGTGCTTGTATGAATAGAGTGTGCTTGCGTGACGCTTAAGCTGTGTGATGAATCTAGGTGACTGCAGTTGGTGTGATTCAGGTGTGATTTGCAATGCCTTTGTTTGTATGATGAGTGTGTAGTGTGTGATGTGAAATGGCAATGAAAAAAAAACATATAAAAAAATATATTAGTAAATCTTTAATTTAGAATTAGTTTAGTTTAGATTTAAGTTAGTAATTTTATTATTAATATAGTTTAGGTTAAATTAGTAATTTTATAATGAATTTAGTTTATACTAGTTTAGATGTAATTTGGTAACTTTAGAATTAATTTAGTTTAGACCTGATTCAGTAATATTAGAGTGTTGATTTATTTTAGATTTAATTTAATAACTTACGAATTTTAGTTAGTAACTTTAGAATTTTAATTTAGTTTTAGTTAATAACTTCGAAATTTTATTTAATTTAGTTAGACGCTTTAAAATTTAAGTTTACCTTACTTAGTAACCTTAGAATTTCAAATTAGTTTACATAATTTTTTATTACATTTTTCTTTTATTCATGATTCTTCTTTGTCTATTCATTTAGTTTCTTACAATTTATCTTGATATCTACCTTGTTCGTTTCTCGTGGATTTTAATTATTTATGATTTCTTACTCGAATATTTGATCTACCTGCTTATGATTAACTCCAAGGGAAAGAATTAAATTTGTTGACTTCATGTCATCGAACACATCTCATCCGATCGTGCGAATACCCTTTTTCATTTTTTGTTTGTTTACTATTTTGCTAAACTCAAGATAATTTTCCCAAAAGACTCCATTTTCAAACTCACACTTTTTTTAAGTCAAAACTTCGACACTAGGTTGTCGCATCTTCAAAATCTCGCCAACACCTATTTTTAGCCAAACGAACCATTTTAATCAAACAAACAATTTTAACCAAAAACAGATATTTCAAAAGGTTCCTGCGAAGTACCGCAGATGCATTGGGTGCTAATACCTTCCCATTGTATAACCAACCCCCGAACTCTCGATCTCTTTTAAAAACGCATTGTATTTTTATTACTTTTAAGTATTATTTTACATTGCATATTTTAGGGTTTTATTTCGCTCTTTTCCCTTTTCCCTTGGAAATAATAAAGCGCGGTGGCGACTCTTGCTTTTGCGAGTCAAGTTAATTAATAGCTTGATCTCCGATTTTCACCGCTACAGAATTGGCGACTCTGCTGGGGACAGATTGACCTCTTGCTGGTCCATCCCTAAGTGGGTTAAGCCTAATTTGTTTATCTGTTTTATCATTATTTGATTGTTTGATTATATGTATATATTATGATTATTTGGGTGTTGATAATATTTACAAAGGACAAGTCCTATACCCGGACTAAGTTACACTTAGGAATAGGACGGGCGGTATAGTCATGTTAACTTTGAGGGAGTAATCCCGAAGAAGGAGGCATGAGATCCCCCACTCAGTGGAAGGCCCTTTTGAACGTAATATTTGTTTACCGAGTAATCGGGAAGACATTATTATTTTCGACCTGGGAGCCAGAGAAGCTGGGAACCGTAGAACCCTAATATCTTGGCCTTTTAGGTGTAGCGCGAAGATTATAACGGAGTAATCCGGAAATAATTGTTACGCGATGCTAAGCTCGGATGAGTTTCTCTTGAGAATATTGCTGATTATTGAGTAATCAAGACGTTGGTAATATCCGAAGGAGGAATGTAGACTTCAGGAACTCTTAGAACCTTGTCTTGCAGGTGTGATTAAACCGTTAGTACATACCTTAGGGGTGTTCCTTACCTTGACTCCATGCTCGTGACGTTGAACCTTTCGACTTTATTTGTGACCTTGCTTGTGGTTTTTGCATAGCCATGCATTCATGCATCCATAAAACCCTTTTCACTTGACTTTCAAGGAATTTGGAGGTCTTTCTTTGTAAACATCACAAGTTTTGTCAAGCTCAATGGATCTTGGGTGTTGATAGGGTGAAAACCCTAATCCACCAAAATGGATGATTGATCTTGATGATAACTGGATCAATGTTTGGAGCCAATTTGAAATTCATCTTCTATCTTCATACTTTGATGTTTACAGCTTAATATCTTGAGTTCCTTGAAAATCAAATAAAAACTCTCTTTTGCATATCATACATCATTCTACATTTTTTGTTTCACTTTCAAAGGTCTTTTTTCGAGTCTTATTTTTCCTTTGGTCTCACCAGTACAACACTCGCGCTAAGAGGACAATGGAGAATATCAAGCAAGAGGTTTCTGAACTCCGTAGAGAGATGACTATTTTGAAAGCTAGTATGGAGCGCTTAACTGGTTTGGTCGAAATTTTGGTTGCCGCCCAAGTCAATCCTTTTAGGAGGGAGGAAGCGATGATAAAAGTCTTCACTGAAACTCCAAAATCATTCTCTCATGAGAAGGTGATGGTTAATGCACCTATTGACTTTCCTGACAAGGTGAATGTGGGAGTGCGTCTAGAAGAAGATGTTGGGAAGGGATGTTCATATGAAGATGGTAGCTCAGCTAATGGTGTGAGGAAGTTTGATAACAACTTTTCCAAGAAGAGAACCAGAGGAAGAAATAATCATCGTCAGAATCATCACGTTCCTCCTATTCATCAACAGAATCAGCAAGTTCCTAATCAGAGGAAAACCCAGTTTGATCCAATTCCAATTACCTATACAGAGTTGTTCCCTATCCTGATGCAGAGGAATTTGGTTCAGACTCGACCTCCACCAAAGGTTCCCGAGAAGATACATTGGTACTAAAAAGCTGATTTGACTTATACTTTTCATCAAGGTGCTCCTGAGCATGACTTGGAGGGTTGCTTTGCTTTGAATATTGAGGTTCAGAAGTTGGTCAGAAGTGGTATCTTGTCATTCAAGGACGTTGGTTTTGAAGTTCAAATCAAGCACGTGCCAAAGAGTAAACACGATTGATGGTCACTTTGAGTTCTGAAGGATGTTTTCGGTAATTCAAGCCCAGATGGAAAGCCTTCCCCGATCATTAACTTATTTCTGCTTTTTGTAATTTTTCTTGTTTATCAAAATATTGTTTGCATGTAAGAACTTGTTTGCATTTGAATGATTATCTTAATACAATGAGTATGTTTGTCTTGAAGAAATTCATTCGTTTCACTCATATTTGTTTTCAAATTTTAAATTTCTTTTTGCATTATGATACCAACTTGTTGCCCGTTCTCTTGCCTAGGCAGAGATTGAGGGGAGGATGATGATCTAAAGAACACAAAATCTCTGTTTGTTTGCTTTTGGATAAAATCTTGCTGATGATGTACAGGCATTGTTTCAAATCCCTAAACACCGGAGATATAAGGAAGATAATCCCTTGCTAACCCCTTTTGAGCCTTTGAAGTAGAAGTTTCTTTTCTATACGAAAAAACCTTGAATTTTAACCTGGGGCAGGGTAGTTTTTAGTTAATCTGACTGAGTGTTCGAAATTCATAAGGAAGATGTTTTTTGAAGAGAAACTACGAGGGCTATCTTTCATGTATAATGAAGCCAGAAGATGTGGAATCACAATGTTATCCCTCATTCATCAAGAAACGAGGCAATCACAATCTTCTCAACAAGCAAATACAAGCTAATGTCACACATTTTGTTCAAAAAGTCAAAAATCGAGAAAAAGAAAAAGCCTGCTAAGTCAAAAAACATGAAAACGTGTGACTTGGGCAAAATTAAGGCATCCCGTTGGACTATCAATTCAGAAGAATTAGTTCAGGCAAAAGTTAGGGAAAATAAAATTGCAAAGAAAAGGACTGCAAAGAAAAGTCCTCAGCAAAGAACAAATTGGTGACTACAAACACGAATACATGATGGTGGTTTCTACTCCGAAAGCCTCGTCGTTTCCTTGACCGTCACAAAATCCTTTTGAGAGATGAACACTCATGTTGAATTAACTGAACATAGGGTTGGAGAACATTATGAAGGGGGTGGGCACCAAATATTTTGAGCCTTAAAATCTTTTTTCTAAAAAACCATGAACCAGGCCACGTTACAACCTTCAAAAGTCCTAATTGAAGCAAAGTTATTTTGAAAGCATACTTCAATGAGATAGTGTTCCTGACTCCCATGAATGTTCTAAATAGTTATGTTGGTATCATATGTTTTTCCTATACAAAAATAAATGGTGCTTTAACTCGCAAAATTTGGGCGATATCTTTCAAAATCTTCAAGACTTACATAACTGTTGCATTAGAATTTTCATTCTCATTGTAAACTTTTTCTAACTGTAAAACATTTGTTTGATATCAATGAAGCTCACATAATCACCAGTGATGAGTTTATTCTTTTAAGGCCTGAAACTATGTTGAGTAATTGGCGGATCACGTCAAGAAAAATCATATCCATGGGCATGTCACCTGAAGACCTTAAGCACGAACATGTTGCTTCTCCCAGTTAATGCTTTCCCAACTTGTTTACCCTTTATTGGGGCAAAAGTTGAAGACTCTGTTATGCCAACTACAGTCAATTCGGGGCAATCACGTCGAGATTTGATGAATTCCTCTAAGAGT